ATTATCCAAATACTTCAGCCACAGCCCGCATAAACTAAGAATATTCCACAATACTGACTATACCTACGGTAGATTTTATCAATTTGTTAATTATTCTCTGTCAATCCCTCAAATTACACAAAACCACCCTCGGTAAACCACTCACGAATGCGGTGTAGGATGTGCCGAGCAGTGCCACCAGCACAATGGCCGCCCAGATGGGCATGCCGGTGACATTGCTGAGGACGATGGTGGGCGCGAACAGCGCGATACCCGTGTACAGCAGGTTCTGCATCATGAACGCCACTGTTCCGACCATCGTCATGACGCGCGTGTTGTACCGCTTCCCCAGGTACTGAAAGGGGGAGGGGGAGGTCAGAGTCGTGGGTGTCATAAGTGCTTTAGACACAAGCATCAATGAAGTGGGAGGGGGAGGGAAGAGGCCATAGCATTCCATCGCTTTCCATAGCCGAGCACTTGCTGGCATGGATCAAGGCCACATCTCTCTGCTCTGTTTACTTGATCTGTCTAAAGCTTTTGACGTGATTTCCCACTCTAAATTGCTTGACAAGCTCGAGCTGCACGGCATTGACACTGCCTGGTTTCGAAATTATCTTGACGGTCACACGCAAAGCGTAGCCATCTCTGCCTCACAGAGCTCCCCTCCGCTCAACATTAGCCAGGGCGTCTTCCAGGGGTCATCGTTGGGTCCTCTCTTGTTCAGCATCGTCGTTAACGATCTTAGCTTGTACGCTGGCGACTCTTTTATCATTCAGTACGCCGATGACACCCAGGTTTTAGTCTCTGGACACAAGTCCGAGCTACCTGACCTTATCTTAAAACTCGAGGCATCTCTCCAGTCGCTTGGTGATTACTTTCATTCGAACGGTCTAAAACTTAACGAGTCAAAATTCGAGCTACTTCCCATCGGCTCACGTCAAAATCTGCGAGACCTCCCACCGTTCACGGTCAAGTTTCGGCAAGCCGTGCTATCACCTTGCACTGAAGCAAAAAATCTCGGTGTCACTTTTGATCGCCATCTCACTTGGGACTCGCACGTATCGCAACTGTCACAGAAGTGCTTCGGCATCCTTATCGGTCTCTCCCACATCCGCCACTACCTACCATCCGGTACTCTCCCAATCCTTGTGTCTGCCCTCGTCCTTTCCCACGTCCGCTACTGCCTCTCCGTCTATGGCAACGGGTCTGCCAAGAACCTCGCCACCATCAACAAAATTCTAAATTTTGCGGCCCGCATCATCTCCGGCAAAAAGAAATTCGACCACATCTCCTCTGTCCGTGCCTCACTCGGCTGGCCGGACCCCTCCACTATGGTTCAAGCCCAAACCCTAAACATCCTACACAAAGCTAGACGAACAGGTCAGCCCGAGTCACTAGCTGCACTATTTGCCACTAATGCCGAGCGTCCAGACCGTAGCCGCAGCACCAGGCAGGACCACCTGCTTAGTCTTCCCCGCATACACGGCTCGGCTGCGGGGAAGCGGCAATTCGTGTACCGCGCTGCCGCAGGCTATAACGCCCTACCACGCGAGTTCTGGGACATGTCCACCTCGATGTTTACCAGCAAGGTCTTAGAACTCTTATCTTCGGTGACATGAGCTGACACGTCACTGTAACCGCTTTTAGCTTCTGCATCGTGTGTGTAGTGTGGTTTATGTGTGTTCACTTTTTATCCTCATCATTGCATTTCTTAGCGTGTGTTGACTCTGACTCGAGAATAGCCCTGTGATTCCGATCTCATGAAGGGATGAGTCTATGACGTAAATACAATACAATACAATACAATAGCTTGACAGCCATAGCAAAAGGTATGGTCGATGGATTTCTTACTTACTCATTTAACATTACATTGCATCGTCGGGAGAGCTGTTTAATTAACAGGCCCGCCTGCGTACTTACATCAAACAACCACGGGCACGGACATTTCATCATGGTGATTTTGCAATATACATACGAGTATAAGCGTTTGTTTTCACAGGACTATCATCGAACCAAGCACGATTCGCAAAGGGCAGTGGTCACTCGTCACTTGAGGGACATAATCCAGGCATGTGGCCAGAGGTGACAAAGAAAATAAACGCCAAATGGACATTTGCAGTTTGCACGGCGTCACGTAAAACGATAATCATCAACTAGGCCGGCAAAGATTACTGCGTCAGCACTCAGCATTGAATGAGCACCGTACTCATTCATTCGGCATGATTGTTGTATCGCTATCGGGCTATTCTGTTGATTTTAATATTAGGCACTAGACAGAGATCACTAGGTCTCAAGCCTCCTGTTTGGACCATCCTGTGTAATAATTAAAGGTGTAAAGTAATCATTGTAAATATGGATGAATCATTAAAATATACTAAAACATAATGTATGATAAAATAATAAACTAATTAAAACATAGCACTTATCTTAACATTAAAATGTATAAATATTTTCGCTGATGATATATCTACCGTCACTTGTGCACAGACCTCGTAGACACTGGTGGGCCACAGTCGGTAAAAGATTGTCGAATTAAGCTCATAAAGTGTGTACGTACCTCATAGACGCTGGTGAGCTCCATTCGGTAGAAGACGGGCAGGATGAACACGCTGATGATGATGCTGGCCACGGGAAACGTCAGAACCACCACGAACCACTGCATGCCGAAGTAAAAAATCTCCGACGGCGTACCTGAGAAGGTTTACGTACAGTTATTCACCCGCGATTTTTTTCAGTTATTGTTCAGTTATATTTCAGATTTTTTTCAGCACGTTTATTTTGCGATGCATAAGCATGCAGTTGCGAGTTTAGCATTGTGATTGTGGGAACAATAAGGTACTTTTAAGTTTTATCTATCACCTGATTTCGCTTCTCAATAAATGTGTTAGCGTAAGTCTCTCAAATCTCTCTTTACATTACTCTCCATGACTGATGATCGTATTCAACAGGCTTGCCTTCACTGTTAATGCTGAACATGTTCTTTAAAGGGTAACCAACTCTTAGACTCTCACGGTCTCACCGATGATCAGAATGGCAGACATGAATGTCGCCATCATCGAGAGCGACACCGGGGCCACGTTCATGTCGCGTGAGATGAGCAGTCCCTGGGCGTCCTGTCCACGCAGACCGTAGAACACACCGATAGCCAGCGTGGCGGCCACAAACAGCGCCATCACTACAAAATTGACGGTGCCGAACGCAGCCGCAGCCGTCGTGGCCGCCATGTTGGATTTGGTGGTTTTCGCCGGGGAAATCCGAGGAGTTGACTGACGGAGGCCGAATCGGATGACCGCAAAACGGAGGCTGGAACAGAAAACAATTCGCAGAAATGGTGAGAATGCTGACGTGCTGTGGTGAGCTAAGCACGGCAATATAAGAACGAGGAATTAAGCAAACAACAGACCAACTTTGCAGCAGGAAGGTTTCGGACTTCGGAGAAACATGCATATCACGCACTCAAAACTGATACACTGAGATCAAACCTGACGACACTTTTGAGCGAAATAGCTCTAAGAGAGATATGGATATTTTCAGTGATTTTGTCGGTCAATTATAACAAGTAGAACGCACCTAAAGACGAGAGTGCACAACGCGCACACGTGTTAAGATCTCCAAGTGGCTTGCGAGGGTCACCAACCTAGCTTGACACCTAGCACTCAGCAGCGTGCATAAATACAAAACTTGAATATAAAACATAGTGCAACTGGCTCAGCCGCTCTTGATGTGTGAAAGCAGGCTCTGTTACGTGTGCACGTACAATCAGACCCCAACTGCCGTGCAGTCGGACTGCATATGTCAGTCTTTTGACGGTCATGTGACCGTCCTTCAGACTACCTATCACTTTCAGCGACATTGTCTCAGCCGTTCTGAGTTGAAGATCGTAGAGGCGCCGCCCCCCCCTTACACATACGAACGTGCAAATGAGACCCTAACTAACTTGTGAGGCCACCTCTGTTATCGGTCCCTAACGGTATATACCAACTTTGAAGGCAATCGGCCCAGCCGTTATGAGACGAATAAAACGAATGACCAGCCCCTGCACGTCCGCTATGAAGTCATTTTACCCCACACCGCTCATCTCAGCGACGCGTTCTCCCCCCCCCCCAGATAAATTTCTGGAGCGTTTCGTCTGGGATGACCGTTTACGCAGTTGTAGGTTTCATCTACATATGTCATGCAAGCAAAACAGAGTAGTAGTCGCATCAGTCCCTCGTCTCCCCCTCATCCCGTCTTCCCGACCCGGCCTGAGATTGTCTAAGCGCATACTACATAGATTGTAAGGTTTTTTCCTCAGTAAAAAATGTTGGCCTAACCGATAAAAAAGTGATAAAGATAGGACGAAATCAAGCCCTAACTTCCTGAGATATAATAACATCGGTTAGATATAAGTGCGAGTTAAACAATAACCTCATTCCGATTGACGACTTAATTATGCACATGAAGAGACATTAGAAACATCTCTCTCTCTCTCTCTCTCTCTCTCTCTCTCTCTCTCTCTCTCTCTCTCTCTCTCTCTCTCTCTCTCTCTCTCTCTCTCTCTCTCTCTCTCTCTCTCTCTCTCTCTCTCTCTCTCTCTCTCTCCCTCTCTCTCTCCCTCTCCCTCTCTCTCTCTCTCTTTCTCTCTCTCTCTCTCTCTCTCTCTCTCTCTCTCTCTCTCTCTCTCTCTCTCTCTCTCTCTCTCTCTCTCTCTGTCCTCACCTGAAATCCGACTTAATCTTTGGCCAAACTTAGCTTCCTTTGTCACCCTGGATCGATTCTCCGCACAGTGCACACTTGTCACTCGTTCTGGCTTATTTTGACCGCTGCCAAGAGTTAATTATCCGTCATACACTTGGCCGGTTCCGAACTGAGCTCCACGCGAGTGCTGAGTTTCTGCTACGGCGATTTCAGCACACTTTTCAAACTTGATATGAACAAAGTGTTGCCAAGTTGTCCAATCTTTTGCTACTTACATTCAAACCACAGACGACCCACGCATTATTCGATCGCTGACCTTCCTCTGACTACTGTTTTACAGTACCTGGGCCTGAGGTACGACTCCAGCCTGGCCAAGGTGATCGGGACGACTGCGTTCATGACACAGAACCTGCTGTACACCGGCATCGCGCTGTATGCACCCTCGATCGTGCTCAGCAATGTCACTGGTATGCCCGACTGGGCAGCCATTGTGCTGGTTGCCTTCCTCGGCACCTCCTACACCGCATTCGTGAGTGGTTGGACCGTAGGACGGTGCTATCTAGTGGAGAATATCTAGTAGCTGGTCTCACGACGCTTTGGAGAAGTGTTAGTGCAAATGAACATAGTCAATTACCTCTATTCTATGCGGAACATGGGTCGGAAGCACAAGGACGGAATGTGATGCTATTATAGCTTGTTGTTGTGCTTGTGGACAACTGTGCATAGGCGGCGGAACGGGGAGGGCACCGGACACCGGTGCCCCCCTTTGATTCTGACATTTTAACATTAGCAGTATGGGCATTGCATGGAAAGAATGGGACCAAAATTCGGCAGTGCCCCCCCCCCCTCCCTTAATTGAAGGTGTTCCGCCGCTACTGCAACTGTGTACCTATGTAACGCAGTGTACTTTTCAAACATTTAAGTTATAGCGTAATAAGTAGCTTTAGTTTTGATATGTGGACCATCCCAAGCACCGTGACTGGCCTGCAGCCTTTATAGACTTTGTGAACGCAAGCAGATGCGCTACGTCCCATCGTGTCTTGCTTACCCATTGGGCTCTTCGGTACTGTGTGCTGCTAAGAGTTAGGATGTGATCGGATAAGTCGCGGTATGCTCCAGGGGGTCGTGATGTGACACTGTGTATTACGTTGTCTGTTGAACCGATGCTCCGCGTGTTCCCGGGCGCCCACACCGTCATTTAGGCAGAGGTGGTGGAAGGAGCTACATTTTAGTATCTAGTCGGTTACATTGTGCTCACGCTGTGCTCCATGTGCTCCAGGGCGGGTTCCGCGCCGTCATCTGGGCAGACGTGCTGCAGGCGGGCGTCATGGTGGCCGGCGTGCTCGCCATCATCATACAGGGCTGTCTCAACGTCGGCGGCTTCTCAGAGATGTTGGACGTCAACCGGCTGCACGGGAGGCTGACGCTGTTCACGTGAGAATATCTGCGTCTTGGGCAGCTTTGGAAGTAGAGAGGTCGCATATTCCCAACAGTGCTATTCGACGTAAACAATTGTTATGGGTGCCACAAAGGATGCATTTTTTTCGTAGGGTTTCCTCGATATGCTCATTTCTTGGCATGTGTATTATACTTACACGTGCGAATAAGACAGACTTGCTGGATGGCTGTGGCAGTAGATACGTGCCTAAGCTGGCGTAACAACTTCATTTCAAACCCGTCACATAAATGTCCAGATTAATCAATGAATCAGTTTGTGGCTGTTAAAATACACACATACCAGCGCTACTTACACGCGCCAATAATGTTCGTAAGTGGCCCGGCACCTGCTTTATGTCACTCTGACCCATAAGATCTTCTGCGACAGCTGGGACTTTGACCCGCTGCAGCGTCACAACTTCTGGAACATCTTCTTCGGCCAGCTGTTCATGTGGACGTCCCTGCTGGGTGTGAACCAGCCGGCGGTGCAGAGACTTCTCAGCTTGCCCACGTACAGAAAGGCCGCCATGTAAGGATTCTATATGCTGAGTCAAAACTGTCTATTAAATAACTTGCCGAATGTGTCAAATGTATTATCCTAGCGTTAATGGTAACGGTTTTTACCGTAATCGAAACGATTGCAATTAGGCTTTTCAGTATAACGCAGCATAACAATCGTGCAATCAGCGAATGTTTTGAGATTATTTTCCCATGGCAATTGGAAGTGACGGCTAATTCGAGCTTTTACCTTACCAACGCTTAGCCATCGATAAGGCAAATCACAACAACCCACCTTTGCCTATCTGCCAATTTAGAAGCAATACGTTAGGAGTCTTAACACAAGCTGTAGCATATATGTATAACCATTCGTTTAGCCCAGTGCCGATGCCGAACAAATATTTGGAGACATTTCGCAACTATTACACTCCACCTCTCTAGCCGCCGCATCCCGTTTTTAATCCCCAGGACCAGTGTGTTCGGCGGCCTGATGATGTTCATCATGACCACGCTGGCCGTTCTCGCCGGGCTGGCCATCTTCGCCACCTACTCCTCCTGCGACCCGCTGCGGGCCGGCGTGACGAGCCGCCGAGACGAGCTGGTGCCGCACTTTGTGGCCGACCAGCTGGGCCACGTGCCCGGCCTGGGCGGCCTGTTCATCGCCTGCGTGCTCAGCGGCGCGCTCAGCACCATCTCGTCGTCACTGAACTCGCTGGCGGCCGTCACCTGGGAGGATTTCTTCAGGGACAGCGCCTGTATTGTTGGACTGTCAGAGGCGGGACGGCGATGGGCCGTCAGGGCAATAGGTCAGTGGTGGACACTTCTACCAGCTTCCAGCTCATTCATTCATTCATTCATTCATTCATTCATTCATTCATTCATTCATTCATTCATTCATTCATTCATTCATTCATGCAATATCCATTCATTCATATTTAGTTAATTAATTAATTCATTCATTCATTCATTCATTCATATTTAGTTAATTCATTCATTCATTCATTCATTCATTCATTCATTCATTCATTCATTCATTCATTCATTCATTCATTCATTCATTCATTCATTCATTCATCGTTAGTTTTATGCTTGGGGCTGGACTAAATCAATAGCACTGCCTTGTTTGTTGTGTCTTCTTTGATTCCGTTGCTTATCCCTCGCATGGCATAGTGGCATACCCAAGGCCCTAAATACAGGCATACCTTTCTTTGACTTTTATCATCTTTCCAGTCGTCGTGTACGACGTAATTCTTACCCTTCCCGCTGCTTTCCAGCGCTCGTGTACGGCATAGCCTCAATGCTGATGGCATTCCTAGCCAAGAACATGGGTGGCGTTCTTCAGATCGCCATTGGCGTCTACGGTGGCTGCACCGGGCCGGTGCTGGCAATCTTCATACTCGCATTGTTTGTGCCCTTCTCCAACCCGAAGGCAAGCTAGTAGAAAGCACATTCCAACTTTATTTTTAACTTCCGTTGAGGGGAGAGAGTTTGTCATTTGTGGGTGGCGTGGTCGGCTCACATTTGCTAAATACTCGTAACTACGTGCATATTGATACTTTATTAATAAAGAAATCGATTTACCGACTCGTACAGCAACCACGCCAGTTCACTCCAGGATTTAGTCTCGACAGGCTGGCCAAGCTGACCATCCTTTCTGACAGCCCTCGGTTCCTTACTGACCGAGCCCGCTCCACACCACTACAGGGTCTGACTGTGGGACTCCTGGTGGGCCTGGCTCTGGCCCTCTCTGCCTCGTTCGGAGCCTCATTCGGCGGTGCTGCTCCTCCGGCCATGCTGCCCACGGAGGTGGACGGCTGTGGCTTCAACATCACGATCCCAGAGAGTGCCAACGTCGCCACCAGCGCAGCAGAAAAGTCAGTGCAGCTGATCTTTTAACAAATAAATATTATCGCAGGGGCTCGGGGGAGTCGCGAGAGTCCGCCCCTTTCCCAATAGTTTCGCTTCCGTACCGCCACGCAATGTATAAAGTGGTGCAGCTTTGGGTCGGACCCTCCGATTCTGAGATGGTGGCGAATGTATTAACTCGGAGTCCCTGTGTTATTACAATGGTGCCGTAATGGCTCATGTAAAACGTTTATTTGCTATTTGCCAACAATTTTTATAAATGAAAGATTAAAGATTCCCACAAAATGTGCATAAGGCTCATCATTTTAATGCTGGTTTCATTCCTTTCAGGGTTGTGAGAAACAAGTTTTTCAGCATATCGTACATGCTGTACTCCGTCCTGGGCTTTGTCGGGACATTTGTGATCGGCATCATTGTGTCACTTGTGACAGGTAAGTGACCAAACGACTTCCCAACAAATTTATACCAAATATATTTTCGGATTGATTATTAATAGTGAAAATATTACGCGCATGTTTTATGATGCATTTACCTATAAATTTATTGCGTGAAAATCATATATGCACATTGCACACAGATAACGTTTCATGTCAGACCCAATATTACTAGAACATAGTCAGACCCAGGCAAGGAAGGCATCTGATGATATATCATGAACCGTGGTATGGATATAACGTCTGGGAGGTGCCGTAAAAAAAACGTTAAAAGGGACGACGCGGTAAAGAAACATGTGAATAAATTGTATGGGCAATGACGAAAATTTACTCTAGCCATTTATCATGTCAGTTCGCGTTATATCGGTTTTGATATTGGACGCATTGTGTCGTCTGTTTTTCAGGTGGCAGCAATATTGAAGTGAATCCCGAAATGCTCAGCCCCGCAATGTCGTGTTTCGCTCAGAAGGCAAAGTTCCGACTGCCTCACAGCAACGGAGCTTCCAACAACGCCTTCGAAATGGAGAAGAAGTAGTATGTGTGGAAAGGTTGTGTTTTACATGCTTGTGTATGTCACGCATCCGCGGGCGGTGCATTCCTCGAACTGTCATCCTGAGCTGTCTACACTTGCCAGGGACCAAAAAACTAGGTCTGTTTTATACCAGTACATCTACACTCATGTCTGAGAGTTGCGCATGAAAACAAACTATTTAGCTTTGTAAGACAAAATGTTTTATTTTTATACATGCATACATGACCCGTACAACATTCATCAAAAATATCATTTCGCTCAAATGGTAGGATCAAGGTAATATTGGCATGGAATAGAAAAAAATATGGCATGTAATTGTAGATGCAGGATCGTAGGTAGATCAGACGTGAACTGCTCCCGTGTGTAATGTGTTGTGATGTTCTGTCCATTTTTGAGAGGTGAATACCGTTCAGAGACATGCATCATTATTACAGAACAGTAACATAAAAAGCTACAGGTCAGTTAAACAGTCAGCTATCGAGTCAACTACCATTATTTCCACAATCCTTGTATGCAGGTCTTAGATCATCACGACACTCGTATCTCACATACAATGAAATGAAATATGAATAAAACAATATTAGAGCAAATTTTCTTTGAAAAATGCATGTAAAACGCTATAAAACAGTTAACTATGTGTCTGGTAGCGGGGTAGTCTGTGGCATATGACCTCCAAACCTTTGTTTTTGGACTTTGCGCCGGGAGTCGGGACCCTATGGCGTACGAGGAATAACTACTTCATAAATCACGGTACAACGCAAATGTAATGCTTGCTTATCTGCACATTTAAGGCACTATTATGGCCTGTACCACACACTTTCGAATCTACCTCTGCCGAGCAATGTATGTACAATAAACGTGCATCTAAAGCACTTTAGGTAGATTTACGAAATACGTAACGAGTGACCTGGCATGCACGCTACAAAAATACTGTGGGAACGTAAAGTACGTTTTTGCCCCTCAGAGTCGCATGATATTTACATGAAATATATCAAATGAAAAATTAGTGTTTTTCGCCCATTTCGTAGGCATCGTTTGAAGCTCCGTTTGTGTTTGACGGATGGAATTTCTTCTTTCGTGAATGCCATGACATGGCGGGACTCAGGTACTCTTCGTCGACACTGCCCTGTCCTCCACCTGAAATATGACATTTTAATTAGAGGTCTTAAAAACTGCGCGAACTTTCAATGAAAACCCTAAACAGTTTCGTATTTATCCGTAACCTCGACGGGTTTCGTTAGGTATAACCCGGATATGGCTCGACAGTCGCATCCTGCAGGGACACATCGTCCGAGTATGCTTCTGTCACTGTAAAATTGTTGAACACAATAGACTTGTAGGCACAATGCGTTCTCGCTCAATTCGCTCGAGCAGCTACAAAATGATTGACCAGGACTGATCGTAAAAGGGCGTTGAGCTTCGTAAGGCTAGCGCCAATATTCGTGGGACGACTCGCGACCATCTCGTCTCACTCGGTTCATTTCTTGTGAAGCGTTATACTCACCTGTCAAAAGAGACACTAGGATTCCTGTCACCATTGTTGCCACAAAGCCGATCACTGCGTAGAGCATGTAGGAAATGCTGTAGAGCGTATCGAATGTTCCTCTGTAAAACATCATCATTTCATTACTTTCACCAAGCACGGATTCACATGTAAAGCAACATTCTAAACCATCTAAATGAATGATGTATTTACTTCTACAGGCACCGAAGCATCCGGCATTGTATGTGTGCACTCAGCTCTTAGGTATACGAGAAATGCCTCCCCCGAAATATTACGATAATCTGGAATGCAAAATGTATCTGAGAGCCATGGCTTGGGGATCAGCTCAAACCGTTCAATTTCTCTAAATTTACTAGTAAAACTGCTAAACTGTATTCCTGCCGCTCAAGGCCCTATGTATATACCCCGCCGCTCACTTATTAGAAGAGCGTTGAGCCGGTTAAATGGGTTCACTTATGACGGTTATGACCATTACAGGCGTTAGGTCGCATCTATCAGCTCTCACCACGGTCGCTCTTACTTTTCGCGCGTCTCCATGGCGTCATCAGTGACGTTGGCGGTGATTGTGACGTTGAAGCTGCATCCGTCTGCGCTGGATGGCAGCATGACCGGTGGCGCCGCCCCACTGAACGATGCACCGAATGAGATCCAGAGGGAGAGGGCCAGGCCCAGCACCAAACCCGTGGTAACACCCTGCAGGCAGGTCGAAGGGCAAAGTCAGCACCGCTACAGTCAACGGTATATCAGTCATAAAAGGACCAACTAATTATCTGTTATCGCCGTTCAAACATTTTGAGAGAAGACATCACTTAACAACTTTCTTATTACCTAATTTTTTTTTTTTTTTACATCTGGACGCAATAGTTCGCTGTCTTTCTCACATCGTACAAACACCCGATGGTCTCTCTCTCTCTCTCTCTCTCTCTCTCTCTCTCTCTCTCTCTCTCTCTCTCTCTCTCTCTCTCTCTCTCTCTCTCTCTCTCTCTCTCTCTCTCTCTCTCTCTCTCTCTCTCTCCCTCTCTCTCTCTCTCCCTCCCTCTCCCTCACCTTGGGGTTAGTGAAGGGCATGAACAGCCCCATGACGAACATGGCCAGGATTGGTCCGGTGCAGCCGCCGTATACGCCCGTGGCCACTTGAATCACTCCGCCCATGTTCTTGGCCACGAACGCCATCAGCATCGAGATGATGCCGTACACCAGCGCTGCCGGATAGATGTTAACCCTCGCCCGCACATGGGGGGGGGGGGGTGGTTGCCCCCCCCAGGCAGTCTTTCTGCTCTGCACTCAACATTTTTACAGCTAGAAGGCTGATTTTTCGTATAGCTGCTCCTCTATCCTTTCTTGATGTCCACTGAAAATTTCAAGTTTCTGTGATTTTTGGTTTCGGAGATATGACCTTGTTTTTCAGGTCATGTCATGACCCAAATGGCCAATTCTCAACATCTTGCGTTTGCCATGGGCCTTGTGAGCTTTTGACACCCTGATTTCGGCCTTTTTTGCCAGTCTTACCTCCCACCTATCATGGAACATGTTGTTCGACGATGTACAGGGTCAAGGTCAGGGTCAAGGTCAACCTAGGTCATCTAAGATAATTAGGAATTTTTTAGGAAAAATTTATTGACCTAGTTCGGCTTGACAGTACAAGGCAGTAAAACATATGGTATTCAAAATATGAAAGTAGCCAAGGCCCTAAAAACAAAAATAGCCTTGTTACCTATGCATATACAGAAGCAACGTGTAGGTAAGTACCAATCCTATTGTCTTCTTCCACCCGTAGGTATTTAATTCCATAGGGGATGTACTGAGTACTGGAGCCGGAGCCGGAGCCGGACCATTTTACTCGGAGCCAGAGCCGGAGCCGGAGCCGCCATGACATTTCACCCGGAACCGGAGCCGGAGCCGGAGCCGGAGCCGATTTTTTATCCGGAGCCGGAGCCCGAGCCCGAGCCGTCTGAAATTTCCACGGCTCCGCATCCCTGAAATGAGCACTTCAAAAGCTACTGAAAGATTGCTATGAACTATCGAATTTCCTTGCAGTTTTCCTCTAGAACGTATGCCTCATTTTAACTATGTCTTCGAGCCACCACCCGACTGACCTATGCCTCGGAGCACCCATCGCCGTCCCGCCTCAGACAGCCGCGCAGTCCAGGCGCTGTCCCTGAAGAAATCCTCCCAGGTGACGGCCGCCAGCGAGTTGAGTGACGACGAGATGGTGCTGAGCGCGCCGCTGAGCACGCAGGCGATGAACAGGCCGCCCAGGCCGGGCACGTGGCCCAGCTGGTCGGCCACAAAGTGCGGCACCAGCTCGTCCCGGCGGCTCGTCACGCCGGCCCGCAGTGGGTCGCAGGACGAGTACGTGGCGAAGATGGCCAGTCCGGAGACGGTGGAGAGGGAGACCATGATGACGATCAGAAAACTGCTGATCAGGCTGGTGCTGTGGACGAGGGAAGGCAGAGATGACTAAACGTGACGTACAACGTTCTACGAGCGCCGTATATCTCTCGGATATACGAGCGCCGTATATCCGCTCGTATGTCAAGCGCCGAGACGACTAGAGGCTTAACCAGTTCAGTGCTTTACTCACTGAGCAAAGAGGCCGGAACGAACCGACTTCATCGGACAAAATGCTGGCGGGCAATGCAATGGTTGCGTTCAAAATATCACATGGCATTACTGAGCTAAAAGAGGACAGCTCCACGTGATTATACGAACCTCAACTCGTGGTTCTGCCTGTTTGAGAGTGAGACGAAACGGACACAACTCACAGTGTTGCCTGTTTGAGCGTGGGCAGGCTGAGCAGCCTCTGAACAGCCGGCTGGTTCACCCCCAGCAGGGAAATCCACACGAAGATCTGGCCGAAGAATGTGTTCCAGAAGTTGTACCGCTGAAGAGGGTCGATGTCCCAGCTGTGGGCAAAAGTGAAGAGCAATAGCTGGTGACAAGCTGCTGTTGAAATGTCAAACGTCGAGTCATAGACCTCTTTCACTATTCTTTAGAATTGTGTTTTTCTATTGAAAAACAAAACTGAGTTCCCTGACAATTTGGCAAAAGCTGCCTGAGATATATGTAGATTTGCGCCTCAATCCATGTAACGCCCGTCTACGCAATGTGACGTGCTTTAGCCAATAGACGACCAATAACTACACTGTTACTTAGCTAACTGCTCAATGACTTATTTATTACTTATAAGCGATCCTCACGTGAACATTGTCAGCCTCCCGTGCTGCCGGTTGACGTCCAGCATCTCTGAGAAGCCGCCGACGTTGATGCAGCCCTGTACGATGATGGCGGTGACGCCACAGACCATGACGCACGCCTGCAGCACGTCCGCCCACACCACGGCCTTGTAGCCACCCTGAGGACGTCACAGGCGGGCTGGTCGGTAGGACATTGGCTCATCAATAAAATGTAGACCAGGCTGACAACCAAACGCAGCACCGTCCAGCAATGTGGGGATGTGTAAATCATGATTCCCTATCCACACAAATATTCACAAATGAGCGTTAACGTAAAATGTAAGTATCTAAAAGCACAAACATGCACAGCACAGTTAGGTTAAATCATGTTAAATCTAAGATCGAAACGTCATCATAAATCGTGCCCTCATCTGAAATGCGTGTCTGCATAGTGGGAAATTTGCAGTTGTACCGATTCATTGTCGTAGAACATCAAAGGTTTAATTCAGTCTCGGACCCAAATTTCACACAGCTGACCAAATAGGACATCACATTCCATCGAGATCGCCCTAGGCCCGGTTCGAACAGGCGCCAGCCGGACTGTAAGCCCACGTTCCTGAGCGAATCAGAGATTACATGGGAGCCGTGACCACTGCTAAGCCGTCCGTTCAGAACGTGACTTCCAGTCGGTTCCTTCAGGTCACGTTCGTTGTTTCGTGACGTTAACGCCGTTTCGTCATCCGCTCGACGTGTTTCATGGCTTCGTAGTTGATTCTCACCGCAGAACTATTTTTAGATGAAACGGTGTTGTATTTTTTTTTTTACTCATTTGAAGATTGTAGAATACGTGATATGAGTACGCACTACGCACGACTGCCGCAGCAGACTACCGTTGATTTTTTCATACCAATTATCCAAATACTTCAGCCACAGCCCGCATAAACTAAGAATATTCCACAATACTGACTATACCTACGGTAGATTTTATCAATTTGTTAATTATTCTCTGTCAATCCCTCAAATTACACAAAACCACCCTCGGTAAACCACTCACGAATGCGGTGTAGGATGTGCCGAGCAGTGCCACCAGCACAATGGCCGCCCAGATGGGCATGCCGGTGACATTGCTGAGGACGATGGTGGGCGCGAACAGCGCGATACCCGTGTACAGCAGGTTCTGCATCATGAACGCCACTGTTCCGACCATCGTCATGACGCGCGTGTTGTACCGCTTCCCCAGGTACTGAAAGGGGGAGGGGGAGGTCAGAGTCGTGGGTGTCATAAGTGCTTTAGACACAAGCATCAATGAAGTGGGAGGGGGAGGGAAGAGGCCATAGCATTCCATCGCTTTCCATAGCCGAGCACTTGCTGGCATGGATCAAGGCCACATCTCTCTGCTCTGTTTACTTGATCTGTCTAAAGCTTTTGACGTGATTTCCCACTCTAAATTGCTTGACAAGCTCGAGCTGCACGGCATTGACACTGCCTGGTTTCGAAATTATCTTGACGGTCACACGCAAAGCGTAGCCATCTCTGCCTCACAGAGCTCCCCTCCGCTCAACATTAGCCAGGGCGTCTTCCAGGGGTCATCGTTGGGTCCTCTCTTGTTCAGCATCGTCGTTAACGATCTTAGCTTGTACGCTGGCGACTCTTTTATCATTCAGTACGCCGATGACACCCAGGTTTTAGTCTCTGGACACAAGTCCGAGCTACCTGACCTTATCTTAAAACTCGAGGCATCTCTCCAGTCGCTTGGTGATTACTTTCATTCGAACGGTCTAAAACTTAACGAGTCAAAATTCGAGCTACTTCCCATCGGCTCACGTCAAAATCTGCGAGACCTCCCACCGTTCACGGTCAAGTTTCGGCAAGCCGTGCTATCACCTTGCACTGAAGCAAAAAATCTCGGTGTCACTTTTGATCGCCATCTCACTTGGGACTCGCACGTATCGCAACTGTCACAGAAGTGCTTCGGCATCCTTATCGGTCTCTCCCACATCCGCCACTACCTACCATCCGGTACTCTCCCAATCCTTGTGTCTGCCCTCGTCCTTTCCCACGTCCGCTACTGCCTCTCCGTCTATGGCAACGGGTCTGCCAAGAACCTCGCCACCATCAACAAAATTCTAAATTTTGCGGCCCGCATCATCTCCGGCAAAAAGAAATTCGACCACATCTCCTCTGTCCGTGCCTCACTCGGCTGGCCGGACCCCTCCACTATGGTTCAAGCCCAAACCCTAAACATCCTACACAAAGCTAGACGAACAGGTCAGCCCGAGTCACTAGCTGCACTATTTGCCACTAATGCCGAGCGTCCAGACCGTAGCCGCAGCACCAGGCAGGACCACCTGCTTAGTCTTCCCCGCATACACGGCTCGGCTGCGGGGAAGCGGCAATTCGTGTACCGCGCTGCCGCAGGCTATAACGCCCTACCACGCGAGTTCTGGGACATGTCCACCTCGATGTTTACCAGCAAGGTCTTAGAACTCTTATCTTCGGTGACATGAGCTGACACGTCACTGTAACCGCTTTTAGCTTCTGCATCGTGTGTGTAGTGTGGTTTATGTGTGTTCACTTTTTATCCTCATCATTGCATTTCTTAGCGTGTGTTGACTCTGACTCGAGAATAGCCCTGTGATTCCGATCTCATGAAGGGATGAGTCTATGACGTAAATACAATACAATACAATACAATAGCTTGACAGCCATAGCAAAAGGTATGGTCGATGGATTTCTTACTTACTCATTTAACATTACATTGCATCGTCGGGAGAGCTGTTTAATTAACAGGCCCGCCTGCGTACTTACATCAAACAACCACGGGCACGGACATTTCATCATGGTGATTTTGCAATATACATACGAGTATAAGCGTTTGTTTTCACAGGACTATCATCGAACCAAGCACGATTCGCAAAGGGCAGTGGTCACTCGTCACTTGAGGGACATAATCCAGGCATGTGGCCAGAGGTGACAAAGAAAATAAACGCCAAATGGACATTTGCAGTTTGCACGGCGTCACGTAAAACGATAATCATCAACTAGGCCGGCAAAGATTACTGCGTCAGCACTCAGCATTGAATGAGCACCGTACTCATTCATTCGGCATGATTGTTGTATCGCTATCGGGCTATTCTGTTGATTTTAATATTAGGCACTAGACAGAGATCACTAGGTCTCAAGCCTCCTGTTTGGACCATCCTGTGTAATAATTAAAGGTGTAAAGTAATCATTGTAAATATGGATGAATCATTAAAATATACTAAAACATAATGTATGATAAAATAATAAACTAATTAAAACATAGCACTTATCTTAACATTAAAATGTATAAATATTTTCGCTGATGATATATCTACCGTCACTTGTGCACAGACCTCGTAGACACTGGTGGGCCACAGTCGGTAAAAGATTGTCGAATTAAGCTCATAAAGTGTGTACGTACCTCATAGACGCTGGTGAGCTCCATTCGGTAGAAGACGGGCAGGATGAACACGCTGATGATGATGCTGGCCACGGGAAACGTCAGAACCACCACGAACCACTGCATGCCGAAGTAAAAAATCTCCGACGGCGTACCTGAGAAGGTTTACGTACAGTTATTCACCCGCGATTTTTTTCAGTTATTGTTCAGTTATATTTCAGATTTTTTTCAGCACATTTATTTTGCGATGCATAAGCATGCAGTTGCGAGTTTAGCATTGTGATTGTGGGAACAATAAGGTACTTTTAAGTTTTATCTATCACCTGATTTCGCTTCTCAATAAATGTGTTAGCGTAAGTCTCTCAAATCTCTCTTTACATTACTCTCCATGACTGATGATCGTATTCAACAGGCTTGCCTTCACTGTTAATGCTGAACATGTTCTTTAAAGGGTAACCAACTCTTAGACTCTCACGGTCTCACCGATGATCAGAATGGCAGACATGAATGTCGCCATCATCGAGAGCGACACCGGGGCCACGTTCATGTCGCGTGAGATGAGCAGTCCCTGGGCGTCCTGTCCACGCAGACCGTAGAACACACCGATAGCCAGCGTGGCGGCCACAAACAGCGCCATCACTACAAAATTGACGGTGCCGAACGCAGCCGCAGCCGTCGTGGCCGCCATGTTGGATTTGGTGGTTTTCGCCGGGGAAATCCGAGGAGTTGACTGACGGAGGCCGAATCGGATGACCGCAAAACGGAGGCTGGAACAGAAAACAATTCGCAGAAATGGTGAGAATGCTGACGTGCTGTGGTGAGCTAAGCACGGCAATATAAGAACGAGGAATTAAGCAAACAACAGACCAACTTTGCAGCAGGAAGGTTTCGGACTTCGGAGAAACATGCATATCACGCACTCAAAACTGATACACTGAGATCAAACCTGACGACACTTTTGAGCGAAATAGCTCTAAGAGAGATATGGATATTTTCAGTGATTTTGTCGGTCAATTATAACAAGTAGAACGCACCTAAAGACGAGAGTGCACAACGCGCACACGTGTTAAGATCTCCAAGTGGCTTGCGAGGGTCACCAACCTAGCTTGACACCTAGCACTCAGCAGCGTGCATAAATACAAAACTTGAATATAAAACATAGTGCAACTGGCTCAGCCGCTCTTGATGTGTGAAAGCAGGCTCTGTTACGTGTGCACGTACAATCAGACCCCAACTGCCGTGCAGTCGGACTGCATATGTCAGTCTTTTGACGGTCATGTGACCGTCCTTCAGACTACCTATCACTTTCAGCGACATTGTCTCAGCCGTTCTGAGTTGAAGATCGTAGAGGCGCCGCCCCCCCCCCCCTTACACATACGAACGTGCAAATGAGACCCTAACTAACTTGTGAGGCCACCTCTGTTATCGGTCCCTAACGGTATATACCAACTTTGAAGGCAATCGGCCCAGCCGTTATGAGACGAATAAAACGAATGACCAGCCCCTGCACGTCCGCTATGAAGTCATTTTACCCCACACCGCTCATCTCAGCGACGCGTTCTCCCCCCCCCCCCCCAGATAAATTTCTGGAGCGTTTCGTCTGGGATGACCGTTTACGCAGTTGTAGGTTTCATCTACATATGTCATGCAAGCAAAACAGAGTAGTAGTCGCATCAGTCCCTCGTCTCCCCCTCATCCCGTCTTCCCGACCCGGCCTGAGATTGTCTAAGCGCATACTACATAGATTGTAAGGTTTTTTCTCAGTAAAAAATGTTGGCCTAACCGATAAAAAAGTGATAAAGATAGGACGAAATCAAGCCCTAACTTCCTGAGATATAATAACATCGGTTAGATATAAGTGCGAGTTAAACAATAACCTCATTCCGATTGACGACTTAATTATGCACATGAAGAGACATTAGAAACATCTCTCTCTCTCTCTCTCTCTCTCTCTCTCTCTCTCTCTCTCTCTCTCTCTCTCTCTCTCTCTCTCTCTCTCTCTCTCTCTCTCTCTCTCTCTCTCTCTCTCTCTCTCTCTCTCTCTCTCTCTCTCCCTCTCTCTCTCCCTCTCCCTCTCTCTCTCTCTCTTTCTCTCTCTCTCTCTCTCTCTCTCTCTCTCTCTCTCTCTCTCTCTCTCTCTCTCTCTCTCTCTCTCTCTCTCTCTCTGTCCTCACCTGAAATCCGACTTAATCTTTGGCCAAACTTAGCTTCCTTTGTCACCCTGGATCGATTCTCCGCACAGTGCACACTTGTCACTCGTTCTGGCTTATTTTGACCGCTGCCAAGAGTTAATTATCCGTCATACACTTGGCCGGTTCCGAACTGAGCTCCACGCGAGTGCTGAGTTTCTGCTACGGAGCGCTCACAGCTCAGCTCCTAGAGCTCAGCTCCCACAGCCCAGCACCAGCACCTCAGCTCCTGCGGCTCAGCTCCTGCACCACGACGAAGTTTAGCCGGTGCACTGCGCCTCTCACAGTTCGTGCACCGCGCCTCTCCCTGCTCGTGCACCGCCGCTGCGCGCCCCGTGCAGCGCAGACTGAGCGGCGCGGCGGCCGGCAGCTCGCGGTGGCCACACCGGCTCCCCGGCCCCCCGCGGACTCAGGTGCTGTTACCCGGCAGCTGCACCCACTGTACGTGGTGGGGAGGGGTAATGGGTGGGGGTAACAGCTCGCCCAGTGCACGGCCAACCGTGGTGAAGACTCGGCCGGAATCGGGTACCGAGAACTTCACAATGAGAATCAGAGTAGTTACCGACCACCGTAAATGGCAAAACCGGTTGGCCCTGAATTGGTGAGACGTTGAACATTGTGACGTGTATAAGTATAATGTGACGTTCTACTGGAATCTGGCTGACTGCGCAGTTCTATTTTTGGGTTTAATTTAGACTTCGTTACCGCAGTTTCTTGCAACAAAATTCAATGCCTGATATACCAAACCAGATACACATCCCGACTCATTTATTTACCTACAATGTTGACAGAGAGAACCGGATGTCATTTGATCAGTAGCATTATCCACACCAATGGCGATTGTGGCATGTAGTTATGAGAAATACTACAATTAAAAAATAATAAATAACTACACCATTCATCCCTGGCGGTGGTCCGATCGTAGCATATATGCCTCGATATATATATCGAGGCGAGATGGGGCTGTTTCGACGCCTTCCCCTCCCCCTGACACCTCCTGGTCCAAGTATAGCGACAAGCGCGAATCAGCACGCGCAAGAAAATATCTACCATTGAAAATTATATGATATCAAAAGTCACATTTCCCGCCTTTGAGGTTCTTTGTCAAATGATCATCAGACCTTTTGAGCTAACTCATTATTACCATAAAATTGGAGATCGTCTAATTTTATGCCCCATCGCAGAAAGGTATCTATAAGTAATTCAGCAGTTTTCGCAAGCTCTTCGGCGTATTGCGAGTTTCAAACGAAACATCAACAATTTAGCCTGTATGGGGCAAAACCATAATACGGACATTTCTGGAACAAGTTTTGCGATAATGTTTGACAGTGCCACTTACACAATTCGTTTTTTTTCTAACAAAATCATGTTTCTCTCGTTGAAACGCGTCAAATAAATTATAAATTTGCTACTCTACGGTCACCTTGTAAGTTGGACCGTCATGACCTTTGAAAGGTCATTATCCCATTAATTCAGTATTGAATAAAAATTGATGCCTTAAACTGTGGCACCCTTAAATTTCCCTCATTAACCCGCGCCCCTCTGGGGTCTGCGTATAACACGCCCTACTTGGGGGGGGGGGGGCTCTCCGTCTCCATAGCCCCCCCCCCCCCCTCCTAACTCCGAAACTACTGGGCCGATCGTCAAAATTCAAACGGCGTCTGATAGCCCCGGAAAAACTGTCGAACGAAACCTGATTTCATCGACCTCGAGGTCACCGATGACGTCACAGGTCAGGTCAAAGTAAAAGTTATTAGCATTCTGGCTTGTTCACGTTTTGGGCTCTGGCCGCCGTCCTACAAGTCAGATCAGGCTCATTTTTTGTTCACACACTCGTGAAAAGATGCTCTAGATACCCTGAGGGTACCAAACTTGTACTTTGATTTTCAGGTCAAGGCCAGGTCATCACAAGTCACGAAAATATTATATCATGCGTCAGTCACGTGACGCATGTTTTATGGTCCATTTAGGCCAAAGATTTTGAATTTGATGTCGTCTGTGTCATTCGAGGTCATTTTGAGTCGAATTTAGCTTAGGTCAGGTCACTTTCAGGTAAAAAAGGTCAAATTTTGAAGTTAAAATTTTTCAACAAAAAAGGTGTCAATTACATGCAGTTTGAGCTCAGGAACACGATGGTGCTATTTATATTGGCGTACCATGTCAAATACGTGCTGAAAAATTGATTTAAAAAATTAATAATTGTGATTTTTTTTTGCAATAATGCGTATAACTTGGTCATTTCTGAGGATATTTAGCTAAAACTTGCTAGAGTTAGTCACAATAATGCGTTCTATCACACATTCCGGTTTTTTCGAAAAGTCAAAATTTGTTCGAAAAAATGTAAAAAATATCAATTTTGAATTTTATTATATAAAATTCTCGAAATTTCCAAAATTTCGAAAATCCGAGATAGCAGTTTGATAGCTCAGTCTATTTAGAGTCCTCTCATGCAAAGAAATTGGATCTAGCTTAAAAACGGAGCTCTTGGGAGCGATTGCCGTGGTTCAATGTTTTGCGTCGAAATCGGCCGAACATGACGTCACTCTGACGTCATTTCCGGCCGACCTATGGTAGCTACGACACAAGGTGTCAAATTGATGCAGCGGAAGGTACTGAAAGTTTGGCGTCGATACGTGAAGCGGCTTGGAAGTTATTGCAGAAAAACGGGAGGGGGCTATGAATAGCCCCCCCCCCCCCCCAGTGGGGCGCGGGTTAACGTGTGTGTGTCTCCATAAAAGATTGGTCAGACTGTGAAAATCGTGCACCATTTTGGCAAAGAAGAATGCAAGCATTCATAATGTCCATGCTCTAAACAATGTTGCGTTGCCCTCATACCTCATTTTATTCTATACATTTTTTTATATGCATTGAACACATGCAAGACAGTGATTAATTATTACACATTATACACCAAAACGTAATTATACACAATATGCACAAGAGCATAGCACATCGTATTGCGGTCTTCCCTTCCGGCTGCTGACAGCGTACGCGTCATTTATCAGCACATCAAATATACAGCAAGAATGACTGCAATTAATACACTCAACGTAGATCCCTGGCCATTCTTGCCGGGCAAATCCAACTGACGACGAAGCTCACACATATCAACAAACAGAAAGATTGATTTCGATTTCACAACCGAAACTAAACGAGCAAAAAGTACGGCGGCGTCACAGCCAAACGTTCCGCATAGGGTCGTGTTCTGCGTCACAGCGTCACACACGTCACGGACTGGCGCGTCACTCTCAGCGTGGGGCCGGTCTGTAAGACGTCACTGAATTTCCACAGCGGTGTCGGCAGAGAGACTGGCGTCCTCTTCTTCCGGTTTGACGACTGATGATGAGGAATCCCCGGCAGGCCGCCGCAGGGGAGCCCGGCGAATCTGCTTAGGAGCCATTACTGCCAGGAAGAAATTGCAGAACAGGGTCAAATGCGAGAGCTGACAGGATCCAGGTCACTGTTCTTTGAAACTGTCCTGTGATAAGATGTAACACTTTATTGAAGCTGTTCTCATTCCTGGTTTTAAAACGTTAGCGAAAGAAACTTACCTAAGATGAGTTTCAGTCAAGCGACCTTAGCGACCTTAGGCCTACCGACCTGACTGACTTTTTTTCTGAGGCAGGACAGCGGGGGCAAGGGTATTGAGGGTGTGGCATATGTCGGTGTTATCGGTATTATCGTCTCCACTGCACTGGCACTGCCGTTAAAGTGATGCTGTCGTCCCTTTTGGTCATCTCTATCGGCTCTTTCGATCATATACCTGTCTGACATTGCATTCCTATACCTCGACGGAACGTATATCGGTTGCATATCTATTACTCATTGGTAAAGACAGGCACTGACTTTTGGCGGCGCTGCTGCCGGAGCGCTGCGGTCCGAGGGCTGCTGGCTCCGTGTCGCTGGGCCGGCTCGGCCGGCTGACCGGCTGCTGAAGCTGCTGAAGCTGCTGAGACTGCTGGGCCAGCCCAGCGCTGCTGCTGGCCGGGCTGGGTGGCGACGACCAGCCGGCGGACCCCGGGCCAGGGGCCGGCGCCGTCCGAGACACCAGCGCCGGCATCAGAGTGCTCGTCGAGCCGCTGCTCTGTCTCAGCTGAGCTGAAACAAACCCCGCCTGAGTCCTGATACAATGAACCACAGCACGGCCGACCTACCATAGCACGCTGGTTCGTCTATACGGATCTACGTCGCTCGCAGATATCGATGATGATAATGGTCGAAGTGTACAGGGCGCCTCAGCGTGCATTGGTGTTCAAAGATATGTCATCTTATCAAAAAACCGCAGCAGCTGCTTTGTGGATCTGACAGGGATTACAAGGTTAATTGATCGCTTAATCATGTTAACAATATGCACACAGTTGCGGTTAGGTCCATCGTTAAAAAGTGTCCAGCTACGCCGCTTCTGGTCCAGCAGCCGGAGCACATTACCTGTTTGATCGGACCGCACGGCCGGCGGTCCGCGGTCCCTCTGGTCCGGACCCGGCTCCGGCTCCGACAGAGTGGTCCGCCACTGGTCTGCGTCCGGTCTTTTCCGGTCCGGGTGCTTGGTGGAAGGACCGGGCGACGCCCCGGCAGACTCCTTCCCACCACCACTGCTGCCGCCACCTCCACCACTGCCACCGCCGCCGACAGCGTCCGCACTCTGGAAAAGGAGACGATGTCATGCGGTCATACAAAGGAGAGGTGAGTGTAATGGCATTAGACATAGTGAATTGTGCTGATAATCTGTCAGTAAGACATATTTATTTACTCGGTTTAATGTTCCTTATTTTCAACTGCTTATAGACATAGACATAGACATAGACATTTATTTCGCTCAAGATCCGACAATTTCGGGTTTTCACTTGCGCACGTCCGGTTGGTAAAATTGCATTAAAAATAGGATAACACATGTACCACACACCAACATCCATCCACATAAAATTGGAGACACATGCATACACGCATGGCTTAACTCTTTAGTCCGGTTCACGCCGTACAAATCGGTAGAGTGCTTTCCTGAATGAGTCGTGATCTCTTCTGCCCTGGCACACATCATTGTACATTTGTACGCCACTATACGCAAGCTGGCGCCTACCAGTCTCTGTTCGAATGGCTGGTAGTCTCAGCCGATTGTTCTGTCGTGTCTGGTGGTCGTGTTCGTGCTGGCGGTCTGCGTCCGTGATAATATCGTGTAATGCGTGGGGAAGCTCTGATGCCAGCACTTTGCTGACCATCTGGACGCGGTGGTATTGAGCAAGTTGAGATGCTGTTAGCCATTTAAGGTCTTTGAGCACTCCAGAAATATGTTCAAACTTTTTCTTTCCGCTGACCACTCTCGCTCCAAAATGTATGATTTTCTGTATGCGATGGAGTTCTGTTTTTGTGCACGTGCTATAGATGGACAAGCAGTATCTAACGGCAGACATAACCAGAGCGCTGACCAGTGGCTTGAGCGAGGTTTTTGGAAGGCTATGCTTTGCATGCGTCAGCGCAACCAGAATGCCACTGCATTTTCCTACCACGTGGTCTACATGATCTACGTATGTCAGGTGCCTATCCATATAAAGTCCTAAATTCTTAACTACGCGGGATTCCTCGATGGCTGTGCCGCAGAAGTTTACCGATATCTTCGGCTGGTTTTTCAGCATCGCCCTCGTTCCGAAAAGTATCATTTGCGTTTTCGCGGCATTGACCTTCAGCCGGTTTTCATTGAGCCAATTTGCGAGTTGATCGAGAGCGCGTTCGAGAGTTGTGATCATCGCGTTAAGATGTTTCTTTGGTCCGGTTATAAGAAGTTGGGTATCGTCTGCGAACTGAATAACTTCTACATCATCAACGTAAAGCCCAATATCATTCACATAGATGGCGTATAGAATACAACTAAGAGAACCGCCCTGGTATACAGATACACCGCTGTCATTGGGTAAAGTGTCGGACATGATCGGCTCTCCCTCACCCGCACTGACTTTGACCTGTTGAGAGTGGCCGGCCAAGTAGCTCGCGAACCAAGTCACATCGATGCCATACAGTGCTAGCTTCGTGAGTAATCGCTGGTGGTCTACGCTGTCAAAACATTTAGACAGGTCGAGCAACACTAAAATGCTAACACTGCCTCCGTCCATCGCTCGATAAATGCGCTCAGTCACTACAGCTAAAGCGGTCTCTGTAGAGTGCGACGCCCTGTAGCCATGCTGGTGGTGTGTGAACAGACCGTTGTCTCTGAAGTATTGAGCCAGCTGTTGCTGCACGACGCGCTCAATCACTTTCATTGGAGCTGGCAGTACAGACACAGGGCGATACTGAGACGGTTGCGACGGTTTGGGTGTTTTGGGTAACGGTGTGATGACTGCATGTTTCCATGCCGTTGGTATTTCGCCACTAGACAGACTAGAGTTGATAATATTGAGCAAGACAGGCCCGATACCATAAAAGAATTTCTGCATCATTTGCACACTTATACCCTGAAGACCCGTGGCTGTCGATGGTTTCATGCTGTGCACGATAGTCATCAGCGTATCAATGTCCACAGTATCCACCTTATTCCACCTTATTCCACCATATCCACCTTATTCGAGCGACATAGTGAAGAAATTGAAAAGGAGGGGAGTATCCAAGAAGCTGAAGGACTCTAAAGATGAAGACGTGTTCAAGGCGTGTTTGTGATAATTCTGACCTGTCCAGGACCGGGTGCTCCCCTGACTAGTTTCCGGAGAAACGCGAGTCGATCTGCCCGGGACCGGAGCGGCACGTAGTCATCCAGGATATGGCGCACCTCACTTCGGACCCGTTCAGTGAAGCCGGTCTGCGTGGTTGGTTCAGGACCTTCCGGCGCACGCCTCACCGCCTCTGCAACGAAGGTGAAGGAGGTCGATTTGAGAGCTTTACCTTGGCCGCTCGGCTACGCCTTGGGCAATAAAGCATGTTTCGGTCTTCGCCCTCAGAATACAATGGTGTCACATCGGGCAATAATTTTCTTTTATTGCGCGCTACCCCATACATACAGTATTCATATAATGTTGCCACTTCAGAATCTACATACGCTAATCTACATACGCTAATGAATTTGCAGAATAGGTAATAGATTCTACGCACCGTCCCAGTGCGTGGTGACCGGGCAGGTCCACGGTATAAAGGCGGGCGGGTGCTGGGGTACCGGTAACAGCACCTCTCCGTCCCGGTCCTCGGGTAGCGCCACACGCGGGAACATGGTCCGTGCCAGGTCCCGGTTCGGGTTGAACCCGGGGTTCTCCAGCTGGCCGCAGACGTCACAAACCGGTCAGACACGCTCCAGAGAGGGTTTAGCGAGTACCAAACTGGTTCGGACAGTTGTTGGAACAAGTATTAGGCTGACAACCTTCGATGGTCAAAACTGAAAGCGGAGATATTTATAAACTACTGAATGCATCCATAACCAACCGCATGTCTTGTCATTCATTCATCCGATGAGAACATCGACAAATAGCGGTATCTTTTTAGTATCTTTGCAACATCCACCATCCACATTCAGACACATTCGTACTTACAGCCCATCTTCTACCTGTCGTCTATCGTATACCAATCGTCTTTGTCTTACCTGAGTGGAGTAGTGGAAGCCCAGTGCGCCGTACATGAAGGCGAACTCGAGGTACAGGTCGGCCACATGTTTACCGTTCAGCGACAGCGGCAGCACGTCAATCACCATCATGGCCTGGATGATCTCGTGGAGGTGCACTTCCACCATGCCTGGCGAAGGAGATGATTTATATCACAGGTGAACGTAATGTTTAACTTACAACGATTGCAATTTACACTCAGCTTTTTCAAAGGAAGAGGAAGTCTTCCGATGAAAATGCTGACCATATTCAAAATCAATTTCTCCTTTAATCGAAGAAAGTTACTGCGTGGTTTCTCAGACGGAGGTTTTCGAGTAGAAAACCAAATTTATAACGTTCATCGGAAGTAATTGCACCAGACGGGTATCTTATGTACGAGAAGCGAGCGGAGATAAATAAGGCGCTAGACAGATCCTGCGAATGGTCAACGTCGTCTCACGACTTGCTTTAGAATAATGCAATAATGAAAAAACTTGTCATCTCAGCCTGAAACAGTGTAACTTTTACCAGCACTTACAAGCAAAAACCCACGAAGAAATTTAGGTTTCTATAGCATAGCTAAATATGTGTTTACCCATGATCCGCGGCTCCACCGATGGCCCGTCACCCGCCAGAGATCTGTACAATTCCAGCTTCAGCACGTTCTTTGGGTCAGAGAGCTGCTGTGGAACCTGGAATACAGTCACACAACAAAGGTCAGAACAAGTTCTGTCAGCAGAATTCCTGGCATTGCTTTGTCGATCAGTACGTTTATTTTTAGTCTATTTTACTTTTTGGTATTCGCATTTCACAATTACATTTTAAAGTCAAACATGAAAAATTATTTGAAAGGTGCAATTAGATAAATGAATGGTCATTGGCCATGCCTGAAGCATATACAATACACGTATACAGTAAAACAAATGTGTGGGGTTGCAATGCCAACGTATAGTCTGTTCTCCTTACCGTCAATGAGAAGTGTTTGACCTCATCCACGGCCACTCCGGTTAGGACGTTGACGACCTTGTCCTTCTCACGCGTGTGGGAGTGCTTGTGCGAGCCTCTTTTCCATCCCGTTTCCTTATAGACGTCGCCGATGGATATCAGTATTTTGAACCGAGATCCTGGATCTGACAGGTCCTCGTCTATAGAATGAGAATGTCGAGAAGTCAGAAAAATATGATTATATTGAAAAAGACTTGCTATATGTAGAAATGTTCAATCCTCATACATTTCATAAACATACGCTTATTGGGGACTGTGGAGGAAAATTACTTAAATTGAACTTCAGCTTCAGCAGAGGACAGTCCTTACCATTGGCGGTTTGATCAAAGCTCTTCATGTTTAGTAGGTGCATTGCCAATAGCCCCACCTGTAAAAGGAGACAAAGAATTGGTGAAAGCCAGCCATTGATGTTTCCTGACAGGCACGATTGATATATAACGTACCAGATGAAAAATGCATGCAAATCTATGAGGGATAATGCATGAGATCGACTGAACTCAAACAGAACGGTACATAACAGCTTTTCATGCCAGATGTCAATAGCCGTTTTCATGACGTGCTATCTAGGGAATGCACCAAACTGACCAAATCTGCACCAAATGTGAGCCAAATGTGTACCAGATAGCCGTCGTGAAAACGGCTAATACGGAAACGGCTTATACGGCTAAACGGCTAATAGGGATGATATGTGCATGATAGCAGTCGAATATTGTATACTGGCAACTTTGTATTGTCATCAGATGTGCATCTTAGAGTTAACCACACAAGAACTTCTCAGAGGTCCCGTTTTACACATACACTCGTTTACTATCTAAATTCCTAAATTTGCATCATCGCATCTTTAGAAGTGTTGTAACGTTAAATTTAATGTTGAAAATAAAGCATTATTTTTCTTTCTTTCGTTTTCCACGAAGGTGCAATATGCATTGTGCAATATGCAATACCCAATTTGCATTAAAATTCAGCATTACCGGCGCTACTGGCGTTTTGTTGCTCTGCGGGTCCTCCTCGTCGTAGGTGTCGGCGCGCTTCTTGGCGGCCTCTCGCAGCGCCTCAGTGGTGTCGGTCGACAGCACCTCGTCGGCCTCGTCGAACTCACTGCCCGTCACCTTGCCGACGGTGCTGGCGGCGATGTAAGGCGCCAGACTCGGGTCGCGAATCGTAGTGGGATCCACATGTAGCTGAGGGTTGAGAGTCATCTCGACGGTTGAGTACTATTGTTGTCTGGCGCACGGCGCGATTAAACTTTACTAGACTCAAGCGACTATTGTTGGCGATAATGCCGTGAAAGAAGGCTGCGTAAAGACCTCAGTAGAGTTCTGGCAAGTTGTGTTAATTTGCAACTTCTTGAGAAATTCACTTCTTGTTTCACTTTGTTTTCACGTGAGCTTCATGAACGTCATATGAACGTTGTCATAGTTACTGAAGTTCAAACACGTGCAGTGTCGTTGGTGCTTACGTCGCTGTTCTCAAGATCTGTCACGTTTTCCTTCATCCACAAAAGCATTAGATTGCATCGCTTCGTAGGTCTGGTCATGGTGGAACCTACTAAAAATGTCGACAATTTATCATTAGCTACATGGAGTTGCAAGAATAATAGCCTCGAGATCCTAAGACTAGGTCAGCCTTATTAATAAATTTCCTGAGGTGATGCTTTGTATATAAGATGATTCATTCTAGCGGATCAAACTAGCGGTTTCCGGTTCTGCGCCCCTCCCAGCTGTGGCAGCTTTAACGACATTGCTCTTCGCATGGCTGCAGCTCTGAAAGTGAATCTAGCCCCCACCCACACCACCTGTCGCATGCTGAACGGCATATTCAAGTAGACAAAGCTATCGTTTGCCACTCCGTTCTCGGCCGACTTTCTCCGCAGCAGGAGACGGGTCGCACTCTGCGGAACGGCGCTAACCCCGCATCGGGCCAGTTCGCTAGCCGAGCCCTTCTAGACGAAAGTGAAACGCCACAAACAAAAGCCGAAAACACGGAGGACAAAGAAACGAGCGACAGGGGCGACAGGGCGGACAATTGCCCGGATCTGTGTCCGGTATAGAACGCCGGACGAGTGGCGGCCGAACCTCAGTTAGCGTTAGAAGACAGATCGTGCTGGTGTTCAATCTTGTCAGTGCTCTGATATTTTGCACTGCCTTCAGTTGTCAGCTCCTGTATCTGTCCAGTTTGAATCTCTAAGGGAGCTTCACTGGGAGCTCTCACACAGAAGTGCGGGTATGTCCCAGGAGACCACATTGCCCCGAGCAATGCTCTTTCTGGGGGTGTTTCTGTGGTGGGCTCTTCTGGGCGCATATTCCGCTCAAGTCGAATCCCGGTTAGAAGATATAGCGGCCGCCAATGTGGAGACAGCGGCAGCCAATGTGACCTTATCCAGGTCGGAGCGTGACCTCTCGTGGATCACCTCCTGGTTGCCATGGCGACGCCAGGAGCCGGGGACCACCACGGAGCTGCCGGGGGTTAGCAGCAACGACAGGAAAGCCAAATGTGAGTACCCGACTGTTTGGTGCTGTGTGGTGTTTGTGACAGGCAAATGGATGGCAGGAAGTTTTCTTTTCATGAAATTCACTCGCTTATGACATGACGAGAAAATGGATGTCTTTTCGCGCATACATGGCTAAATGGATCGCCATAGATGCAGTTGATAATCGCCCATACGGCTTACTTCGCATAAGAATGCGGGGAAAACGTCGCGAAATCTTTACAAACGAGACAAATAGGCTTTCGCATAGTCAGTTCTCCACACAAATGGTAATAGTTCCTCGCGACTTATCAATCGGGCGAGCAGTTACCAAACGTACTTGCCGTTCTTAGATAGGCGTGTCCATGCATTCGCTGTATTTATTTGCACAGTCACCAAGGGTGTAACCTACCATCAAAATGCATAAGCATCAGTGGCGGATCCAAGGGGGGGGGGTCACATGGGTCATGCCCCCCCCTTGAGGCCCGGGGGCCCAACGACCTGCCAGGGGCACCACCGACCTATCAGGGGTATCACAGTCCTGACAGGGGCACCACAGGACCGCCAGGGGCACCACAGACCTAGCAGGGACACCACGGGCCTGGTGCCCCTGGGCCCTGACAGGACTGTAACGTCCCTGACAAGCCTGAAGTGTCCCCGGCAGGCACGTGGTGCCCCTGACAGGCCTGAGGCGCCCCTGCAAGGCCGGTGGTGCCCCTGGCAGGCCTGTGGTGTCCATGGCAGGCCTGTGGTGCCCTTGTTAGGCCTCTGGTGCCCCTGACAGGCTTGTAATGCCCCTGGAAGGACTGTGGTGCCCCTGGGCCCTGACAAGCCTGAGGTGCCCCTGACAGGCCAGTGGTGCCCTTGCTAGGCCTGTGGTGCCCCTGGCAGGCCTCTGGTGCCCCTGACAGGCTTGCGGTGCCCTTGGAAGGACTGTGGTGTCCCTGGGCCCTGACAAGCCTGAGGTGCCCCTGACAGGCCCGTGGTGCCCTCGTTAGGCCTGTGGTGCCCCTGGCAGGCCTCTGGTGCCCTTGCTAGGCCGCTGGTGCCCCTGGTAGGCCTCTGGTACCCTTACTAGGCCGCTGGTACCCCTGCGCCCGGAGAGGATTGGTGCCCCTGAAAAGTCTGAAGTGCCCCTCGGCAGGCCCGTGGTGCCCCTGACAGGCCCAAGGTGCCCCTGCGAGGCCGGTGGTGCCCCTGGCAGACCTCTTGTGCCCCTGGCAGGTCTGTGGTGCCCCTGGCAGGTCTGTGGCGCCCCTGGCAGACCTGTGTTGACTGGTGCCCCTGCTAGGTCGCTGGTGCCCCTCACAGACCTGTGGTGCCCCTGGGCCTTGACAAGCCTGAGATGCCTGGCTATGACAGGCTCGTGGTGCCCCTGATAGACCAGTGGTGCCCTTGCTAGGCCTGTAGTGCCCCTGGCAGGCCTCTGGTGCCCCTGCTACCCCTGCGCCCGGAGAGGACTATGGTGCCCCTGAAAACCCTGAAGTGCCTCTCGACAGGCCCGTGGTGTCCCTGGGCCCTGACTGGCCCAAGTTACCCCTGCGAGGTCGGTGGTGCTCCTGGCAGGCCTCTGGTGCCCCTGACAGGTCTGTGGTGCCCCTGGCAGGCCTGTGTTGACTGGTGCCCCTGCTAGGCCGCTGGTGCCCCTCACAGGCCTGCGGTGCCCCTGGAAGGACTGTGGTGCCCCTGCCCCTAGGGGTGCTCATGGGCACAACAGGCCCGTTGTGCCCCTGACAGGCCTGTCGTGTATACTTGCTAGACCTGTGGTGCCCCTGCTTCCTGGCAGGCCTGTGGTGCCCCTGGCGGGCCTGTGGCGCCCATACAAGGCCGTAGGTGCCCCTGACAGGTTTGTGGTGTCCCTGGAAGGACTTTGGTGCCCCTGACAAGCCTGAAGTGTCAAGGACAGACCCTTTAGACGCCAAGGTCAAGTTCGTCGGACTGACAACGATTTGCTTACCTGATAACGTTCCTGGTAAGTACTCACTACTCAGCGTCCACAACATATATACACATAGCACATTCATATATACTTGCTGATACTACTACTACTTCATACTACTTCATATATACTTAATTGGGTATACTTGCTTACAATTGGTAAATGTGGTTGTGGCTAAGAGTTAAGATACTGACTAAAAAAAAAAATAAAAAAAAATAAAAATGGGGGCACCACCAAAATGAAGTGGACGAAATCCGTTGAGTTTTTAATTTTGGGTATAGGTAGGGGCACCACTTCGCTTCATGACCCTCGGACCTCCCCTTGGAGTTTTCCTGGATCCGCCCCTGATAAGCATTGAGCAATGAACTATGTGATAAGGCTCAGTTTCTACTTAAGTATTATGCCGTCACCTTGAACTTGTTCAACAAACCGGAGCTTGTGCTGGAGAGAAGCCAAAACGACTGAGGAGGACTCTGACACCGTGCCATGTCACATTGCCATTTTCACAAGTTCTGGTAACACATCTGCCATAGAGCTTATCGAAAGATTCTAAGCTTTGCATATGCATGCCTGTGCCTAGTGCCCTTGTATGTAGGCAGACAAGGCCTGTCTAATGTTTAATTTTAGTTGTGAAGGAAACGACCGTGCCGCCGTTCCCAGCGACATCAACGGAGCATGAGTCACTAGCACCGAGCCCGAACTTAGCGCATGCAGTCATTGCGTCATGCAATTGTTCTCGGCTGTGCCGTGTAGCGTGCATGCTGTGCATGCTTTTTAGCATAAAACCGTGACCGTCGGTCCATTATATTCGTGCTTAGCCCCTTCTAAGGCACGTTTCTTCCTTTGATGCGATTTATTCAATACTTCAATATCATTTGTGTTACCAGCCAACTCCAGCTATTGCTTTTCAGTCACAGTCACACTTTTCAGTCAATATGACCTTGATCGCACTACTCGTCTGTCTCCCCCAGTCCTGAACATCTTCACCATAGTGCGGTTCGCCAACGAAGAGTGCAGGGGCGACAACAACCTGAACGGCACGTGCGTGTCCCCTGACGAGTGTCGCAACCGGGGAGGCCAGGAGGCGGGGAAATGCGCCAACGGCTACGGCGTCTGCTGCACCAGTGAGTTGTAGAGAGGGAGGGCACCCCAAGGCGGGCGGGCGTCGATATGGGTGTGCTAGGAGAATAATTCGCGGAGTTCCGGGACATAGCTCTGAAATGCATTACCTAATCTAATTGCTTCCGAGACGGACGACCTCAGCATCACTCGCTTCACTTTTGTATTTCCAATTCCATTACTACCAAAACATTACTTGTGCTTATACAAGGCATCTCTATTATTGAGCTTAACTTGTACAAAAACAGATTTTATCTATTACTGCTTTTCGAATAGTTTTCCTTGTGAAAATCTGTCAAAGAACTTAAGAAACCGAAACGGACAACTATTTTGCATCTTAGTCGTATTCATTAATGATAATCTATAATATTACGTAACACATAAGACGTAAATCACAATGATCGTCTAACCCACAGTGACCGGTAGTTGTGGGAACTTCACGCGGTACAACAACTCTTACTTTGAGAGCACCGACGCCGGCAACACACCCAACTGCCAGTAAGTTTAATATCATATGTTTTATTCTGAGAATAATGCAAATAATATACTGCGACTGTTACAAAAATGGGTAACTCGCATGTGCAATAATTTGTCCTTTATTATTGCGGTACATATTTTCATTTTGTAACTTACGAAAAGGGAACATGCAATCACCTACCACCTATTCATCTGGGTTCAACTGTTTTCCTCAAGAAACACTGCCTGGCTCTGGCCTATGCCCATGGATTGTTTTACCTTCAGTTAGGTACTTCGTATGCGTCTATGCGCTGAATAGATGTAAACTATACTCAGTAGCCATGCTATTCAGTACCACCATATTCTACCGTCCGCACCCTTCTCTCAAATTGGTGACCTCCACCACTCTGACGCCAGATTCACCGTGTACCGGGACTCGTCCGCGCGAATCTGTCAGCTCCGACTCGACTTCGACAC